CAAATAATTCAGTAACATTTGAAGTCTATCAGATTTTGCAATTAACATACAAATCCTGCTTTGTCTGAACTCTTTAAGGTTTGAACAGAAGACATGGAATATTGCATAACATGCTAAAACACTAAACTATCATTTATAGCGTCAGCTTGCTGTGACATGAGTGATGCACTTGGAAAGGATAAACTTATCCATGCCAATTTACAGTTATATGTTTTAATAAAATTATTTACTTTCAATCGTCATATCCACCTGAAAACTGAGGAAAAATGGATCTTTCAGTCATAATTTTTTTGTGATTTGTGTGTCAGCTGCAGAGGAGCTAACTGAATAGGCTAGGTCTCAGGAGAATATTATCAATAAAAGTTAATGATCTAACCACAAGTTTGGAGCAAAAGCAGTTTATACAGAGTGGCCTATATAACAGAGAGTAAGTAGGAGTGAACACACAGATAATTTTGTGCCATGCCTAGGAACTATGCTGCTGTTAATACTTAAAGTGGAATTGCACTATAATGGAGTAATGCTGCTCTCTGGTCAGTCTGGGCCTTTATGTGAAGAGTTTGCAGCCTCAGAGTCCTCTCACAGTACAAACAAATGGGTTTCAGTGTATTTGTTCATCCTAACCTGGCTGTAGGTGTGTCTTTGTCTGCCTCTTTGTGTTAGCTTTGTGATAACCTCGTGACTACTGGGGTACATGCTAGAAACAAACAATCCAAAAAATACTTAAGTATTTACTCCATAGCAGACAGTGAAGTACAACAAAGTATTTGGCAAGTAGATTCCAATGAAGCAACATAGAAGGGTGGAAATAGGAGATAGCACATGCTGGTGGTAATAATAACACAGCTGGAGACTTGGATGAGCAACAATAATAAAGTGGACATGGCTGAGGGAGATTTTGAAAGGTAGAATGACAGAAAAACACTGAGATTTAAAGCACACAGAGCAGAGATTTTGTTATGAAAATCAAATCAAATTAGAGAATCAGCGTGATGATGAAAGAATTCGATTTAAAAAGAGGAAAGCAGGAGTGAGAAAAAGAAAAGAATTGCAATCCAAAAGCCCAAAAATCCAGACAGATGATTTCATTATTGAACTTCATGATATCATCATATGATAATTAACCTTAGTGGACTTCAGTTGATTAATGTGAAGAACTTTTTTTATTTATCATAATGCTCTCTTTTGTCAGTTGTTGTGAAAGTGTAAACAGCCGAATGGCCAGTATATTTGTGGAGCAGACAAAGAAGCAGAATAACAAGAAACAAGACTGGAGTACAACAAAAAGCGAGTTGTTTATTTTGGCTGATGAAAACACAAAAGCAAAAGGCAAAGGCAAAAACTAAACTATAACCTAAACTGGGAAA